AATACTTGTAATTTTAATTTACATAAATTAATAGAAATTGTACAATCTTTAAAATTCTTAATAGTCTGTCATTCAAACCTAAATTATACATCTTAAATATCAATAAATGCACAATACAAGCTTAATTTATTCTTAATATACTCATCGTCGGATACTTATGCCTATATGGTTGATTAACTTTGTTAAATGATAAATGCTTATAATTCGGCCGTGGGTATTCGCTGATGAATCAATAACTATACCATCATTAAACATGGGTTTGCACTTTCTAAAGTAAATGGGACTATGTGTTTATAAACAAAGGTCATGTGTGTGTGTGTGTGTGTGTGCGTGTGTGCGTGTGTGCGTGCGTGCGTGCGTGTGTGTGCGTGAGTGCGTGTGGAGGTCACAACACTTTGACCGGTGGTCATGATTGTACGACTGGGCAATCAAAAACCAAAAGGGGATCACTTTATTTCCTTACAGTAGCGTTGGCGTTGAGGTTGGCATGGAGATAAGAGACACCTTCTTTACTGATGTTGATGTCATTTATTTCTATACGGAATGTTCCTTCAAGATGACTAGACTGACATTGACCTTGAGTGACCTACAAGGTTTGTTATTTGTGAATGGATTGACACAACATCCTTTAGATGAAGATCAAACTAAATTTCACATTGACTTTTAAATGACCCTTGAAGGTGTATTTTTTTACTTAGTTTTTTTATTTTGGTAACATTTTAGTTTGATGCATATAATGGTCTCATAGGCCTCATTGCATCACTGACTAGTATTCATATGTATTGTACATCGAATAGAAAAGAAAAAATAACATATATTTAGACACATTCAGTCAATTACTGGAATCAAAATTAATAGGTCACCATTTGGCAATACTATTCAATACCATATTAGGACATGATTGGTGATATGTCCGGGGTCCGTGCTCTCAGTGACTGAAAGGGAGAATGGACCCTTATTTAGTTTAGAAGAAACACACAGGTGTAATTTTTAAATTGTCACTGCCTTTTGCTATGATTGGCGGTAAAACTTTATAATTAGTAAATAAAAATTATTAAAGCTTCGACAAACATGACATATCTTTGCAATTGATTGCAATGCGTCTGTGCGTGCGTGCGTGTGTACACTTGTTTGTGTGTGTGTTTGTGCATGCGTGCGTGCGTGTGTGTGTGTGTGTGTGTGTGTGTGTGTGTGTGTGTGTCAAGTTTCATAACTCTGATAGTTTATGTTTGTCATAATTGGCGTTTTATTTTCTCTAATTTTTCTGAGAAAATATCACAAACATGTACCAAAGTGGCTATAACCTACTTATTTATGAACGAATTATATTCGTACTTGGACACAGCAATCCTTGAGAAGTATAGACCTTCAGGTTGATGAGACTTACATTGATCTTGAGTCATAAATGACCTTGACTTTCAAGTCCCTTCCCATCTCAGGAAAGAGTAGAGATACTGACTTGAATTTAAAATATCCATGCAATATCATAATGAAAGTGTGTGTTTAAAATTTGATAATACTGATAGGGTAGTTTGATATAATTAGGTTCCTTTTTATTCAAATTTACTTCGATTTTTTCTTTTATTTTGCTATCTCTTTTTTTTTTCACAAAGTGGCGATAGCTTTGTTGTTTATGAAAAAAACTGCCCTAATACATTGACAAAACACAGTCCTTGGGGATAGGTCTTTAAGTTGATTAGACTTACATTGATCTTGATTCATAAATGACATTTACTTTCAATTCAGGTCCAGTTAATGATTAAATAAAATAATGTTAATGGCTACAACTTTATTTTTATACGTCCCATTCCATCTCAGGTACAGGTATATAAATTAAGTTGAACTTGACATATCAATGCAATTTCTGAATGGATTGTGAATAACTGCGATGGTTAGTTTGACATAATTAGTATTTTTTTAATTCAAATTGGCTACAAAAAACTGTGTTTTTCTTTTACTTAGATATCTCCATTCTTCTTTCTTTTACCAAAATAATGTTAGCAAGGAAATTAATTGTAATCATTATTGGTGCACAAGTGAAACATCATACAATATAGGCCCAGCTCAAATTTGGCTTCATATAACTTAACTTTCAAATGGTGGGTGGGGTATAATTATCTTCAATGATAGATCTAGTTTACTCACCTTATATATGATTTGATTAATATGGGCGATTAAAATGTAAATGATGAAACTGACCTTCATAGAGATCTATTACCTATCGATTCCAAAACAGAAATTCATTGAGCTTTGAAAATCGTTTTCTATTGTTAACAAATTACTAGACAATGGTGTTAAAGTTGGTGTGGTTTTCTTTGACATTAGTGACGCGCTTGACAAGGATTGGCATAAAAGTACATCTGTATCTCTCATTATTTATACCAAATCCAAATCAATACCGATACAGCTTATGGAACGCTGAAGATATTAAATGAATTGCATCAAGGACTACTTTGTGTACTTTGTATCAGAACGCTTTCTTGCTGTTATTCGTGATTGGAACTGTTGGGCATTAACCACAAGGAACAGCCCAACACTGTCTTCCTTCAAAACATTTTTAAACAAGGACAGGAAACAGACGCCAAACATTTTATATAGTTAGTCGTAAACTGCAGGTACTTCATACACGTCTTCGAACGAACTGAAGAGCTTAAAACTAACCACTCTATGTCATTGTGGGGTGTATGGGCAAATTGAAACTACCTACTATTTCTTTTTTTTTCTTCTTTTAGTGTTGTACACCTACCGTAGATTTTTCTTACTTAACTCGCAATAATTCAACATAAACCTTCATATATTTTATATATATCTATGGTGACCCATCTCTTACATAGCAGGGCAATACTAATATATTTACACATATACAAAATAATATAGAACAAACGAATAAAGATTTATTAATGACGCTTTCCATAATGAAACATTCCTTCTTTCTCTCTATTTTCCCACTATTTCGTTTTCTTTTTTTACATATGTTTTTGTTTCCCAAATTTAAGGGGGGTGCATTTAGATTTACCATTGTACGTCCACCCATCCATCCGTTCGTCCGTTCTCATTTTGTGCCGCACGTAGCTCAAAAAGTAGTTGACCTACAGTCATGAAACTTCACAGGAATGTTGCTCAGCATTTGGGTATTTTCGTTTCGATTTATTCAGTATTTTAGAGTTATTGCACTTGACTCAGTAAAAATTTGCAATTTTCAACTTGTGTCGCACGTAGCTCAAACAGTATTTGACCAAAAAGCATGAAACTTTACAGGAATGTTGATCAGCATGTGAAGTTGTGCACCTGGGATTTTGCTTGTTGATTAATTTTGTTTTATCAAAGTTATTGTCCTTGACTTACTAAAAAAATTGGCAATTTTCAACTTGTGTCACACATAGCTCAAAAAGTATATTACCTAGGGTCATGAAACTTTACAAGAATGTTGATCAGCATGTGAAGTTGTTCACCTGGGGTTTCGCTTGTGGATATTTTTCTGTTTCGCCAGAGTTATTGCCCTTGGCTTAGTGAAAATTTGCAATTTTCAATTTGTGTCGTGCGCAGCTCATAAAGTATTTAACCTAGAGTCATGAAACTTAACAGGAATGTTGGTCAGCATGTGTAGTTGTGCACCTAGAGATTGGATTCGCATGTGGATTTATCTAGTATTTCTAGAGTTATTGCCCTTGACTTAGTCCTTGAGTGTTCTGGTTAGAATCAACCAACTTTACAGAAAAAAAACATTATCAACATCAGTGTGAAGTTATGCACCTAGGGTTTTTGCATGTGGATTTTTTCAGTTTTGTTAGAGTAATTGCCCTTGACTAAGTATAAATTTGCAATTTTCAACTTGTTCATGCATAGCTTAAAAAGTATTTGACCTGTAGGCCTGAAAGTTTACAAGAATGTTTGTCAGCATGTGTACTTATGCACCTTTGGGTTTGCTTGTTGATTTTTTCAGTATTTGTTAAGTTCTTGCCCTTTACATAGTAAATGATTTTAAGTTTTCAACCTGTGACATGTAGCCCAAAAATATTAACATAGAGTCATAAGATTGACAGGGCACCCGTGTCTTATGGCCACATTTTTAGTTAGTCTTAGATATATATGTTTAACTGTAAATCTGCTCTATAACTTTTTATATACATTGTAATACTTACAGTTTTTAATTTATATAAGACAAAGATTGTTTGTCAAAGGATAAGAATTTCTTAGATTCATCTCAAGTTCTCATCCATTTCCATTATGTAAACATATAGTATTGTTTATACCATTTAGAATAAATATGTTTTAAAACAAGAGTAAGTTTTATTGTTTTCCGTGCGTATGTCTGTGTATGTGTGTGGTGGGGGAATACAAAGTTTATCTCCGAAGTCAATTCTTTCCGATTTCCGTCTTCAATAAAGTGACATTTCCTCTTGACGACTGAATTTTGAATTTAAAAAATAATGTCTTTTTTTAACAAACAAAGAATGCCACGAATTATTTTACAGGAAGAAGATAGATTTTGACTCAGACATTCTATGATAACGCTTGAATCATATTTATCTGCTCCCCATTCAGTACTATTTACCACCAGAGAGTGAAGTTCTACTAGTTAAAGATCCTGTAACATATTTTTTCATCGTTTTAATTCATAAATATGATGCTCAACTTTAAGATTTGTCAATCTTGTAGGTTCCAATAAGCATTATTTATAAAGATATTACCGAATTTAACATTTCATGTAAATAAAGGGAGGTAATTAGAAATTTATTTTCTACAAATTCTAAGTCAAATTTTCCAACAAGAAATGAATGCATGTAATTTAATGATTAAATATAATGTGCACAAATATTTGCAGTGAACATTTTACATATTCTTCGATGTTTGAAAAGTGTTTTATTTGCAAAATAATATACATATATATTTTTTTGCAAGTGTATAAACACAGTAACAATATCAATCACAAAACATATAGGATCTAAATAAAGGCATTAATTACAAAAAGGCCTGCATCTTAAAGTAAATGTTTAAAGGTTTCAAAGTTTAAAAGCGCTGGCATTATTGTATTTGTCAGTGGGGTGGTTCACTATAACAAGTCCAATTTGTTGTCTGGTATTTTATTTCAGACGTGTATGTGACTTTCATCAACCAGAGACACTGAAGGCAATGCTAAAGGAACTGAAGATTACAGATGAACCTGCCAGTGAAGACAGGCTGTTGAACATGTGTAAAGATGTTATACAATACAGTGTCAAAACATGTATGTACAAATGTATCACATTAACCGTAATTTTTGTCCAGAACTAGCTTGTATAATTTTGAACTTACCGCGGCCGATAATTTGATCGGTAGGGTCAATATATACTACACTGTTTTAATGGGAAATTCAAGGTTTTTTGCATGTGATGTGCGTGTCTCTTTCTCTCTTTTTATTGTATTTTGAATATTTGCAACGTTGCACAATCATTTTTCTGTAATATTTCAAAGAAAACTTCTTCATGTACTTTATTATAGTATATATGTGTTATTTCAGCAAATCCGCGGTTCTTTAATCAGTTATATGGTAGTATGAATCAGTATTCACTAGCGGGTAACTGGCTGACAGACGCCTTGAATCCTAGCATGTACACATACGAGGTAGCTCCGGTCTTTACTTTGATGGAGGATGAAATATACAGTAAAATGTTACATTACGTTGGATTTGACGGTGGTGACGCTATCTTTGTACCAGGTAGAAAAACATGAACATAACTTGTTTTATTTTAGTAATTAAAAATATTCCGGTATCTGATTGGAAATTAACCGGTATTTCCATAAAATATACCGGTAATCTATTGAAAATAAACCAAGTAAGTTGACCAATCTACATGGATATATTTTTCAACTTATGTTAGTTTCTCCCTTAGACAAGGTGATGAAAACTGGTTAGTTTAAAAAGGAGAAATGTACAGAGATTGATACTGAATATGAAAACAGACCGTAACTTTTATTTCTATTATTTATAATATGATATTAAACAAACATCTTTAATTATGTGTAGAGAACTACCCAGCAGGCACTCGACGTTGTTTCAACGTTGAAACAACGTTGAAATATGGTCGTGACGTTGTTCAACCAATATTCAACTATGGGCGACCATACCGATATATTGCCAATGTATATACAACGTTGATTCAACGTTGTTTATGGTCGAAATTTTACATTTAGATTAATCATTATATAAACTTTTATACCACTAATTTTGTGATATTATTCCTTTATTGAATTAGTCTGTAAGTGATTTTTGTCAGGAAAATTAGCGTTATACAATCTTTTTCCGTTTATTCAAAAAATATTAAACAAATAAAGTTGGAAATAATTTTTCACTTTCTATTAACGCTTTAAATATTAGTTAATATGTTTTGTTGTTTGTTGTTTTATTTTTTAGTTCTTTATGAATAATATTAATTAATAAATTGATATTAATTAGTCAAAACCCCGTTTATAAAATAACGCTGGTCAGGGGAAGTAATTGTTGCGGTCTATGTCTATGATTATCGTTCGTGCAAATGGTGGCGCTGTTTGGAAAATTTGAAAACAACACGATTGGCAATTTATTTGGATTTCGAAGGTATTACCGTTATGTTTTACTTTAGTTTACTGATTATTTTCTAAAATATTATTATTTATTCTTTAAATTCTACTTTAATTTACTTTATGAAATAAATGAGAGATATAAACACATGATTGAGTTGATTTGACACGTTTTCGCGACCTAATTGAATGATTTGGGTTCGGTAGGCCTTGTAAGCATGAAGTTATTGATGTCATTGGCAATTTATGATTTTACAAATCTTGTCTTTCTTTAATTTATTTTTCATATTATTAAACATTTGTCTGTACTATATCCTATTTAGAATTTAATCAATTTTAAAATTGAAACCTATAAAGTAGTTCGGCCCACTTAATTTACGTCCCAAGACGATTCGTCAATATATATAACTATGTTTATATTTTATTGATAGTATAATACAGTGTTAATTAGTTTGAAAAAAATACATTATAGTGATTATTATTAAGTTAAATAACAAATTTGAGTGTTAAACTTTAAAGTTTAATAGTCGTAAATTTAATAATAAATCTATTTCTATTTTATTATATATTATTTTATATTCTAGATCCTGGTCCTGGCTGAAATTTAGAGTATTGCAGCTGTAGCCTGTATACCATACATTCAACATGAAAGGGACTGTCAGGTTTGTTAAATTGAAATTTATTCTTATTAATTTATATATTTGAATTTCTTTACAATACAAAGTATAAATTTTTCAACTACTGGATATTTATCTTGTCTTAAAATATATTTCTATCGGAATATTCCTGTAACATTATTAATATAAAATTTACATGTTTGTTGGTTTCAGGATGCTGCATAAAATGGTCTTAGCTAGAGCCTAGAATGTTAATTTCTTGGGAATATGCTGCAAGGAACTGACGGGGAGCAGTTTTTCTTACAAATCATAGGTGAGACTTTTAAATAGCTTCTTTTTAAAAAGATTTTGTTGTCTTATATACAGTATTTGCTGTCAATATCAAACTTAGCTATGTTTCAATTTCTATGCTGTTTTATGATGTAAATCTTAGATAAAAGCATTTTAAGATAAAAACAAATCACTAAGTTGAGTAATTATATGTATAATTTGAGATTGACCAAGTCACTTTTAACTACAAACTTTTTATTTTTATTTGCAGAAGCAGTAAGAGACAGCCAAAGAAGTACTCGAACACTTGACATACCCAGAAAGATCTAGAAGAAAAGATTGGAACAGATTGTAGCTTAATTGTTAAAACTATTAAAGTGAATTTTAGCTGCACTTGAACTGTATTTTGAAATAAAATATCTGAAGTATTTAATATTGTCTTGATATTTTGTTAAACTTGGTTACTTTGCTTTATATCCAAAAATTAAAGTATGGTGGGTTTTCAACGTTGAAATGACATTGAAACTAGAAGCTTCAACGTTGTATCAACGTTGAAATTTCAACGTTGTTTCAACTTTCAAATCCGAATATAAATCCAACCTTATTTCAACGTTGAAATCTGACCATAATTCAACGTTGAAACAACGTTGATGTGCCTGCTGGGTATAATGATACAATGCTATATAAAATTTCTACAGCTACCATGACTCTTTTTTGTGTGCATATTTAACTTTTTCATGAATTATATTTAAAGGAGGGTCCATGGGAAATATGTATGGAATGAATGTTGCACGTTATGCTAAATTTCCAGAGATTAAAACTGACGGTTTATATGCTGTAAAGAAACCTCTTTGTATCTTCACGTCTGAAAAGGTTGTCTTTTTTCTCTGTTTTCTACGTAACATTTAAATTCAGTAAACCATATAAAACGATTATAAAGTGTTAAACAAGAAAGTTTGACTTTTTTAGTTAACAGCAAAATTTATTTTCATTTAGTTGGATTAGTGACATTTGACTTCGCAAGGAACACGAGATTATGGGGCTTTTTCCCTCTATATTGTACTGTATGACATTAAACGACCTTAATTATCTTTTCATGGGATAGATATAAGTCTACTGGAGTTAAAAAATATTTTAATATGCCGATTTTGTATTGCTTATATAGTTTGAGATGCCGTATATGTTATATTCTTGTAGTGTCACTATTCAGTAACGAAGAGTGCGGCATTGATGGGTATCGGTATGAACAATATCATCTTTGTTAAGTCAGACAAGATAGGCAAAATGATTCCAGACGAGCTAGAGAGACAGATAAAAGAGGCCAACGAAAAGGTAATCCATGTATATACAAGAAAAGCATTGATGCAAAGCATCAAAAGCGACGCCAAAAAAAACATTGATCAAGTTTTGCAACAAAATACTTAACAAAAGATGTGTAATTCATAGCAGTGCCATTACATGTGTCTTTGAGACTAGGCCCAGTTTAAGTTGAAACTTAAACCAAAATGAATAGACTCTGTTTTGCCAAGATGAAAAAACAATTTATAGTCAATTATCCAATCACTTATAAGACTTATGCCATAAGAGATAATTTCTTCAGATTTATTTTACCAGATACAAGGATACCTGAGTCATCAGCATATGATATAAGCTTATTGCTTAGGGTTGCAGACATGTCATTGACATATATTAGACATAAAAGAGGACCTGAAATGAACCTCAGGGGGACACACTAGGTACTTGGAGCAGTAGTAGAATGAGTACAGCTGCTGTTCATCAGATATAAGACTTGAATCATGTAAGAATGTCATTACCTATGGCGGATGTTCTTGAGGTTCCATGAAGAAGAAGAAGAACTTCTTCATTGGCAGTATATTGTTATCAACTGTATCATATGCCTTTTGTAGGTCTAAAAGTATCATACATACAATACTGCCTTTGTCCATTTCAAATTTAATACAATCTGTTAAATGAATCAAACATTTGTCATTTCCAACCTATGACTGTCAGAAGACCAACTGGGCTATCCGGCCGGCTACACATTTTCTCTTTAAATTAATAATGACCAGTTCTAAACCACAACATATTTCCCCACAATACTGATTTGTGTCCTTGAATTTCTGATGTTTAAAGAGCATAGTGAATTAAACACAGGGCTAGATGCCAAACTTTCAGCTTGACCAGAACTCAAACCTGTGACCCACAGAATAATTTACCGCGGCTGTAGGGGTTGAGCTAACAAATAGATAAGATAGAAGCTGTCCTTTTCAAACTATGCACATGTTGAAAAAATTCAATTAACAATTCAGAATACCATATGATTTTTATATGACTTTATAAATTATATTGCTTGATCCAAGTTTAAGGACATTTTCAATCAATACATGTATTATCATTTATAACTTTAAATCTTTAATAATAATGTCATAACTGTAACTCTTTAAATACAGAAATATTATAAGTCTCATCATATCCATATACTAAGATATACATGTATACACATAACATTAATAATTCCCAGTTTCTATTAAATAAATATGAAATCCTAACATTACATTGGCACTAATGGATGGAATTCAAAATCTAGTAGAAAGAAAACTACATATATAATTTAGAAACTCTATTATAGATACTATTATTAGCCAGCTAACGCTGGGTATAAACACATATAACCTGTAGACTAGGTAATACATGTATTATTATTTATAAATTTAAATGCAAGTCTCTTCCATCATAACTGTTTTTCTTTAAATACAGAAATATTTCAAGCCACATTATATCCATAAACCATGATATATATGTATGCACATTACATTAATAATTCCCAGATTCCATTGAAAATAAATATAATATCCTATTAACATTGGTACTTGGATGGAATTCATAATCTTGTAGGAAGAAAACTATAATAATGTATAGTATAAAAGTTTTTAAAAAATCTCAAATAGTCTATATCATACATGTATAATAAAGATTGAGCTGTGTGAGTGTCTAAACATTAAATGCATATCTCTTACAGTAACAAATACTGTCCCTCTTTTAACCTTCCATTAGACTTTACTATATAACTAACTGCATATATATCAAGTGTTTAAAATTGATAACTTCAGGATGTTATCCTTTCTCTGTTTCAATATATGGACATGAGCACCTATATGCATAGCTTTAATTTTCTACCTTTCATTTTTACCAAAGGTTATTTTATTAACAATTTATATACAAACACATAGAAAATAATAATTAGTTTCACATAGTGATTAGAAGATTCCTGTAGCAGAAAACCTGTAGGTATGTACTAACTGAAGAAACTCCAGTCTAAGGTATATAAAGCCAGTAAAACGTCTATTAATATTCACTCCTCAGGGCCTCTATGCCTTTGATGACCTTACAACTGGTAAATGTTATACAACAAAAATAGTAAGTAATACCTAAGATAGACAAAAAAGAACAATTAATTTAGAAAACATGAGTTTCTTCCCCTAAAAATAGAGAAAAGCTGAAACCCAATAGAACACCATAACCCGGCCTAAATATCAAAATTATGAAATGTTGCAGGCTCAGTTTTATTAAGCCATGCAAAGTAATGGTAAAGTATTCATAAAAAGTTAGATGGCCAAGTGACAGCAGTAATTGCAGAAAACCGGATAGCTTTCAACATACGGATACTGGTACACTTTGTCAAAAGAATCATTCTGTGCAATAGATAAACGTAATGTGGATGAAATCAATAGGATAATCGTTTACAACAGTTTCATTACCAATCCTTATATACATTGGCAGGTGAACGTTCTTCTTGCAAGAAAATTTTGAAAATATATAAATGAATGAATGCATCAATGTAGACCACAACGATATTCGAAATCCGGGTTTTAGTATTGCCAATAAAGCTGAGGGACAAGCTGTTAAACTGAGTCTGCAATTTCGTGAAAAAAATATCACAATGCACATGCTTTTTACATAAAGTTATTAAATACAAATATAACAACATATTTGTTTATTTGATTTTTACGAATCAAAATAAAACTAAACATGACATTAACTGCTAATAATGATAGCTCCTTCCATAGGCCAAAATAAAAAGCATTCCATGAAAACATTATAGATAGCTCCTTTTTAATGAACTATGACAGCATTTCTTTGCCAGTTATTACCTCTGTGCTGTTGTTTCTTTGCCAGTTATTATTACTTCTGTGCTGTTGTGTTCCATTATTAACGTCATTCGACATGGTGAAATATGACCTTGACCCCCAAAATTCACTTGACACTACTGCATTATGGCACAATTCAGTTGTATCGAAACAAAAATGTACTCCTGTTCCTACTACATGTATTTAGTGTTGTATTAATGCGATGGCATAGCGTTTTTTCACAAATGCATCTTGTTTTCATCTTTTAATTAAAAGTATGTACTGTCAGAGTTATTATGCATACAATTGAAAAATATAAAATGTTCGAGTTGTTACAAAAAATCGTGTGTAAAATTCGAAACAAGAAACATTGCATATATTTCAGGGTTATGAGCCATTCTTTGTAAATGCTACAGCAGGAACAACTGTACTAGGAGCTTATGATCCTCTAGATGAAATATCTGATGTTTGTAAGAAACACGGGCTCTGGTTGCACGTGGACGGCGCGTGGGGCGGAAGTGCAGCTATGTCCACCAAATATAGATATCTTTTGAAGGGTATTGAAAAGTAAGAATCAATTGATCCGATATTAAGTTGACCTTCATATCTTACTCTAGAAAATGTTTAAGTAGAGCGTTCATTGATTGACTTGATAAATAACCTTAGATGTTTGGTATTCAATTGAGGTGACGTTTGAGGTCTATTTAATTAAGGTAACAAGGTCACAGAAGTATTAGTGCTCGCCAATTTTTTTAAGCCAATCACCGACGAGGATTTTTCAAATTTTTAGGTTTCAAATCTTAATAGAACAGATTTTATATAAACTGGACGTTTTATATTATAAAACGCAAGTGGGCGGAGCTAAGTTTCGAAGAGCGCTATTTATAGTGAAATATACGCATGTGCAGAGATCTTGAGGTTTACTCCTACTAATCAATATTTATGCATCATGTTGTTTTCCGTACACGCACATGTATATCGTCACTACGGCATAGAATTAAAAAAAAAGAGGTTCATTGAAATGAAAACAGGCAAAATAACAATAAAAATGTTTTATTACTTACGGAACCAGTATCATTTTATAATTTCCAAATAAAAAGTTCACTTATTCCAACAAAGTATGTATGTATTATTTCTTACTTTTTATGTGACCGCCTCCGTGGTCGAGGGGTTAGAGTCGATGACTTCTAATCAATTTACCTCTCTGGCGTGGGTTCGATCCCCGGGAGATGCTTTGGTAGTTTAGCGCGGAGGAAGGTAGTCTAGTACTGGTGTAACTCTCCAGGAACGATGGTTAGGAAACTACCCGCCTATATGACTGAAATACTGTTGAAAAAGGCGTAAAATGAAACAAACAAACAAAACAAACAAATTTCTTACTTTTTATGTAAATATTACAGCCCGTGCCGCTGCAAAACCGAAAGTAGGGTGTATTTATTAATTTTTTGTCGAGGTGACAGGCGAGGCAAGACATGTCGACTTTTTGTAGCTCATTGTGAAGTTGCATTACATGAAAATCGGGCACATGACAAATCAGCACATAAATAAAACATTCTAGTGTTCCGTGGTATACATTTTTTCTACGTGTCATACCTCCTTTCCTTATTACAATGATTTTTTACTGCATTGTTATCCACCGCTGGTTTGTTTTTAGCAGAGAATGGCCTGTGTATGTTCAAAGAGGGTACCGATATGGATATACACCGTGATATTGTCTGATTTATTTACCTAGACAGAATGCGGGAATAAGCTATGCAAAACACGTGACCCGAAAATGTGTACCGCTACCTCTTCCAAATATGGTTATACACATTTAGGCTATCGTGTGACGTCACGCAGTGTGTTGGGTGGAAAAAAATGGGCGGAGCACTAAGCCGGTTAGAGTGCATATTGGATGTTCTTCGTAAATAAGAAAGCTACAGTCGCTTCGCAAGCTCCGCTCCTTTTTAGCTTTCTTATTTACGAAGAACACCCAATATGCACTCTAACCTATACTAAGAGTCATTTGTTGTACATACATGTATTTGTATATTTGGTAGCGTTTTTTATACCTGTGACAAATATCTTTTGAAGGGAATTGAAAAGCTAGAAGTAACTTTTTATCTGAAATACATATCAGTGTATTTCTATATTTTTCAAATAAGGTTGCACTGAAAAATAGTTGCCAAACTGAACTCAAAAACTGCCGTTCACAATGCTTGATTTTTATATGACAAAATAAAGCATTCGTCATTAAAAAATGAAAACACATAATACGAAAGGTTTTTTTTTTTCTTCAGAAGTTGAATAAAAGATGCAATGTTTTAAGTTTTCAAGAAATATGTTTATTTATTTACACAGTGCAGATTCAATGGTATGGAACGCTCATAAGATGATGGGTGTCCCCCAGCAATGCTCTATATTTCTAACAAAGCAAAAGGTAACTTGTAACCTGGTAAACTGTGCCGTAAAACTATTAAAAAGTTATTTTTTAATGTGTATACTTTTGAACTTGTACAAATATGTTTTAATTAATGAATTACTTTAAAGCATCACATTGCAATAGAAGAGAAACATGATGTTTTAGAACTAATCATATACATGTATATAATATAAAATGTATAGAATAACAGCTATAGATTAAATCTAGAATATTCATTCATACTAAGAAATCATGTTATGTATTATATTTTGCTCTACCAGGGTATAATAATGGATTGTCACAGCGCTAATGCCAGCTATTTGTTTCAACCAGACAAGAACTACGATGTTTCTTTTGACACTGGTGACAAGTCTGTACAATGTGGTAGAAAGGTTGATGTGTTTAAACTATGGATGTTATGGAAGAAGGAAGGAGATAGTGGGATGGAGAGTCGAATAGATCACCTGTTTATGCTGTCTAGGTTTAACCTAAAGACATAAAACACTCATTTATATCTGTAGACATAAAAACACTCTCCCTATATCTAAAGACATAAAACACTCATTTATATCAGTAGATATATAAACACTCTCCCTATAAAACACTCATATCTAGAGATATATAAAAATAATTATCCTATATCTGCAAGCGTAATACAAAGCATTATCCTACATCTATACAAAACGCTCGCTCTATACCTGAAATCATACAAAAAGCTCAATCATACAAAAAAGCTCGCTCTATATCTATAAAAATTTAAAATACTATTTCTGTATGAATAAATAACAACAGACTCTTTATGTAAATATACAAAAGCTTGTTCTATATCAGACAACATAAAAAACGCTCATTCTATTTCTGTAAACATACAAAACGCTTATTCTATAACTGTAAACGTACAAAGCTCTCATTCTAAATTTCTAAAATGCTTATTTTGTAAAAATAATAAGCAGAATGCTCCTTCTATATATGTAAACATACAACGTTGTCGTACATGAAAACATTAAAAGCGTTTATCCTATTCTTGTAAACATACAAAAGATATGTTCTATAACTGTAAACACACAAGCTCTCATTGTATATCCGCAAACATACAAAGCGCTCGTTTTATAACTGTAAACATACAAAGCGCTCTTTCTTTGTCTGTAAACATAAAGCACTCATCTTATATATGTAAACAAATAAAACACTTATATCTGTTAACATAAAAATATTCATCACATGCCTTTAGACATTTAAAACGCCCATTTTCATTTAATGTGACATGTAAAACACTTCTATCTGTAGGCACAAAGCCTACCACTCTTTATTTATTCTATATATGTATACATATAAAACACGTACTGTATATCTATAGACAAAACACTTGTCCTATATTTTTGGACCTATACAACACTTATTTATTGTCACATTAAACATTTATCTTTAATATGTACACTTTTTGTAATGAAATGTTATTAACTTTCATGAGCATTTTTTGTGTTTTACTTCCACAGATATTTATCTGACAAGTTAAAGAAGACACCAGGGTTCAGACTTATACAGGAGCCAGAGTGCACCAATGTATGTTTCTGGTATATACCCCCTAGCTTAAGAGGTCAACAGGAGACCAAAGAATGGTGGGATAAACTTGCAAAGGTTCGTAATTAGATTAGCACAAAAACGAAATAAAATAGGTGTAAAAACTAGATCTGCCACTGTCATTGCGTGAATACCCCGTGTACCGAATTGTCAGAACCAACAGTGGTCATTTAGAGCTCAAGGACAATCTCCCTGCCAAACATGAGGATAGAAAGCCGGTGCATTGTTAAGTTATGTTTTCTATATGTTTAATTGGCAAAGATCAAAGTAACCTTTGACCCAGTGACCTCAAAACCAATAGGGCTCATCTTATAATCATGACTAACCTCCATGCAAAATATGAAATTATTTGACAGACAAGCTATTTTAAGTCAAGGGCCCTGTGACCTTGACATTCGACCAAATGATCTGAAAAGCAATTGGGGTCATCTAATGACTTATCTCCAGGACAAATATGAATACTGTGGGTCAAAGAATTACTAAGTATTTTGGGCACTTTAGTCGAGGCCCTTCTGACCTTTGACCTAGTGACCTCAAAATCAAAAGGGGTCATTTACTAGTCATAACCAACCTCAATAACAAATATGATGATTGTTAAACAAAGAATTCTAAAGCAATTGAGCAGACAGGCTTTTAGAACTTAAGACCCCTTTGACCTTGACATTTGACCAAGTGACTTCAAAATCAATAGAGGTCACCTTATGGTCATTACCAACCTCCACGCGAAATGAAGACTGTGGTTGAAAGGAATCTTAAGTTATTGGGCTGAGTCTAGGCCCCTGTGACCTTGACCAAGTGATCTTAAAATCAAGAGATCATCTTATGGTCATCACTAACCTCAATGCCCAAAATGAAGACTGTGGGTCAAAGGATTCTTAAGGTTATTGGGCGAACAAGCTTTTTTAGTCAAACTCCTTCTGACCTTGACCTTTGACCTAAAAATCTTTAGGGGTCGTCTACTTCTCATACCCAATCTCCATGCCAAATATAAAGACTGCTGATCAAAGCATTCTGAAACAATTGGGCGGACAAGTTTTTTGAACTCCTGTGACCCTGACCTTTGACCTAGTGTCCTCAAAATCAATAGGGGTCCCCAAATGGTCATTTGAAACCTCCATGCTAAATATGAAGACTGTGGATCAAAGAATTCTTAAGTTATTTGGCAGACAATCTTTTTTTAGTCAAGGCCCCTGTGACCATGACCTTTGACATAATGACCTCAATCAATCAATCTATACTCATGACCAATCTCAATATCAAATGTGAAGACTGTTTGTCAAAATGATTATTTAGGTTATTAGGCGGTCATGAAAAATCTGACGGACAAACTGATTCCAGTATACACCCACCCCCCGTTACAGCGTTGTTGTGTGGTTGTGTGAAAAATAAAGGTGGTTATAATAGTGGAATGAGGAACACAATTGAAACACTTTCATTAAGGTCACAGACCATACACACGCACGCACATCATAAAAACAAATTTGACAATGTAGAAGTTGTATTAGTATTACAGTATATAATTGTTTCTTCATCATTTAATAATCTGTAATGAACCTGAATTTATCTATTATGCAGTTCCCCAAATCGTAACACAATATATATATACAGGTATTATTACAGAGATTATGTATAATACAGTCATCATAATCCGAACATCTTAGCTCACCATTAGAGTTGAAATTCAAACATTTCGACATAAGATATCAGTGCATCTATACTTTATGAATAATACATCATTTTATGATTTAAGTATACAATGCCTTATAAAATGATAACCAATGTATCATATTATAAACTAGGATAGAAATTAATTGCTAGTAAGATTTTACTATATCAATTATTTATGATGTTTTTACAACAGGTAGCCCCAGCAATTAAAGCTGGTATGATGCAGTGTGGATCCATGATGATCGGATATAACCCAGACGGAGATCTCGTCAACTTTTTCAGAATGGTCCTCACTAATTTTGACACAACAACAGAAGATATGGATTTCCTTGTGCAGGAGATAGATAGACTAGGCCGTGATTTGTGATTGAAAAAAAATCAGCAGTACAACGTAAATGGTTACAATTGAAGCCGATCGGGAACCAAGCTGACACCCGCGCATGTTTTCCAAGCTTCAATAAATATGTGTCTTGTACTAAATTAAATTCAAATACTTTTATTCTGACTATTACCCAAAAATGTTACTGCATGACATTATACAGTCGTATTTGCTTGCAAAATTAAGTAGTAAGTAGTAAAGCATGAAACTTTTAATTATTAGGCCGCGGGTACCCCTAAATTCCACAGTTTTGTGATAGTAATATAGCAGTAGCACATGATACAAGTGCAAATAACTATATGTGCAGATATATTCGCGGGCTTCAAAGTTTATATGTTCGCAAATCTTCAAAACAGACTATTAATATATTTCCATATTTCGAATGTTTTCCAGTCTATGAGTTTAGATATAACTATATATATGTGTGCTTTTTTACAAAAATCTTATTTTTTCAAATAAAGAATTATATTGCATACCAAGTTGTTTTATTTAGTTCTCAAGTTCTAATCATTCATTTCATGAATAGTTTTGATTGTTTATAGAGAAATAACTTAGACCAGATGCCAAGACGTTTATTGTCGCTGACTATGAAACAATTAGCATGATATACACGTGGTATACAAACATGTAAACTAAAAAAAAAACACCGGTACTCCCTAGTATACAAGTAAACTGATTTATATACAGCACCGAACGTCACATGTACAGTTGTTGTTTTTATGTAGAAGTCATTGTAGCATGGTCTATAGAATCATCAGAACTTTTCACACCATTCCAAGAGAGAGATCTCCATTTATTTTAATTTTCAATGATTTATGATATTTGACAATCATCTCTGTGAATTCAAGAGTGCAAATATTTATATAAAGTTATAAACCACTCTTACGTTTCCGGAATTCTTTTTTCGGGAATATAAAAACAGATTGCTAATGTCTGCTTAATTAGGGGTCATAACCCTGCTAATTTTCGATGAAATTGCGGCAAAAGGTGTATTCACATGACGACAGATATTCTTAGAAAGTTCCAGGGCTCTAGATTGATACTTTTGGAACTCTGCCTATCTCAATGTCAAAATACCAAAGCATACATGCTACACGTTTCATGGCGATACACAGGTCAAGCTCATCAATTATTATGATGTATATATACACAAAGTTTGAGGTTCCTGCTTTAATGGACTTTGCTTAAATAGCCAGTTTTCATGTTTTCATGTTATGTTCTAACAGTTCTTGGTGACCTCAATATGGATGTGGCAGGTAAGTTGTAAGTATGATATGATATGTTGAATTTTGTATGGTCCAAATAAACAAAATCCGTCCACAAATAACATATTTATACAGAAAAATGTAAGTGTCGGGTTATAAGTGCCTCTAGTGTATAAAGTTTCAGTGAATTAGCTATGTAATTATATAATTTGATAACCAACAAGAGCATCACATATAGCGTGACAATATACGCCAGGATGCAAATTTGTTTTAAGTACTAAATAAAATTTAAATTTATCAAACATAATGTTTAAACAGAAAGGATATCCATTAATAACATTTGTCCAAAATATGTATGTTTTATTTCAATTATCAATATTAAGATTTATTTTGATGCAGGCCAAAGAGCTATGCTCTTATCACATGAATACTTAGTGACAATTTTATATGCTTTTCGCTGTGTACAGACCCCAGACATGTCACCATCCATGCCCTTAAAAACTAATTTTGAAGCACAAAGTGCTCCATGCAATTGTCACACAGTATATATACTTACTGAAAACAACAATAAAGTATAATTTTAAATGATAAAAATTCAAAGAAACATATAAATAATATTATACCAGAAAATCAAAAGCACAAAATATTATGCCTAAAAATATAATAAATAAAATGCTATGCGGGCAGGACGTGAAGTGGTTGCACACTTAGTTCATGCGAGAAAATTGGTTGCAAACTTGACCAAATGGTTACCGAGTCATGAATAAATACAACATCCTCACGTATTTTCATCAGATAAGTGGGTTTGTATGCTTTTTTGAAATTCTTTAATATGCCTATGATAACGACACACTTGGTTTAAGGTCTCAGTTTAAAAACTTCTGATATTACGAAGTTATTGACGATATAAACTGGTTATTTACATATTTTGGATTTGACAAGTGACAGGGCAATTTTTAAGCTCACTTACTCGCATCTGTACCAAACAAGACAAAATATGTATCTTTCAATACTGTGTAGATACCCGCGAGATGCTTTGGTAGTTTAGCGCGGAGGAAGGTAGTCTTGTACTGGTGTAACTCTCCAGGAACGATGATAAGGAAACTTCCGCCTATATGACTGAAATACTGTTGGGAAAAGGCGTAAAATGAAACAAACAAACAAACAAATGTTTGAATTTGCATGTTCCAAAAAGTTTCAATACACGAAAATATCGTGTTCAAGTGCATTTTAGTTGCAAACTTGTAGTTCACGCATTTATGGTTGCACACTTTTTTCTTCTTTTTTCAGTCAAATATTAAACTGCCAAAGGATTCAGCAAAGATCATGTTGATTAGTCAAATATATATTCCTTGAAAAATTTATAAATTTTACACTAGCTTTTAAATGTTTTTAAATGACATTGACAATCATTTAGGAGGGAGTTGACATTTGTTATCATTTACTGGTGCGACCACTCCATGTCTCAAACTGTGTGCCTTCTCCTGCGATATAAATTAAAATATCGACAAATTTACCAACTGTCCGTGTATTGCAGTGGGTAAGATTGTCTGGTAAATTTCTAGTTAAATATCAATGCAAGACGACCATGTTCGAATTGTACCTTTTTTGTAAAAAATATTTCTGTATTATTGATAATCTAATAAGAATTTGTTGTAGTATTTTCTTGTAAAGATTTTAAGTGTTGGGTTATTTTCTTTTTACTTTTCATTTCATTTTTTCTGTTTTAATGTAGCCATATCTAGCAAGTTGGTGCATAATAACAAAATGCATACATGTACACAAAATATTTCAGCATTACATCAGTTGGCGAAATATTCATGCACTATACAAGTATTATGACTACTACATGATACACAGGATATTCAAAAAAATCATTATTACCGGTATATTTGAATTATAGATAAAACAAAACTACCTTTATATTTCAATTCATTTGCATCTAATGTAAAATTTAAACAAGAGGCCATCGCTCCCCTGACCCATCAACCGCATCCAAGCAATGTCTAAGACAAGCATCCTGGCCAAGTTTGATGACAATTGAGTCAAAAATGTGACCTCTATTGGGTTAAAAAGGTTTTCAATATTTGGGCAATGTGACCTATTTTTAACTGGAGACGACCTATATTCAAACTTGACCTAGAAATCATCAAAACAACCTTCATGACAAATTTCCAGGATATTTGGATCAAAACAACAGCCACTAAAGTGTTAAAAAGATTTTTCTATTTTTAGCTTCTGTGACCTAGTTTTTGACCGGAGATGACCCATCTTCAAACTTGACATAGAAATCATCAAAACAACCTTCCTGACAAATTTCCAGAATATTTGGATCAAAACTGCAGCCACTAGAGTGTTAACAAGCTTTTTCTATTTTTAGCTCCTGTGACCTAGTTTTTGACGGAGATGACCCATCTTCGCGAACATGACCTAGAAATCATCAAAACAACCTTCCAGACAAATTTCCAGAATATTTGGATCAAAACTGCATCCACTAGAGTGTTAACAAGCTTTTTCTATTTTAGCTCCTGTGACCTAGTTTTTGACTGGAGATGATCCATCTTCGAACTTGACCTAGAAATCATCATAACAACCTTCCTGACAAATTTCCAGAATATTTGTATCAAAACTGCAGCCACTAGAGTGTTAACAAGCTTTTTCTATTTTTAGCTCCTGTGACCTAGTTTTTGACTAGAGATGACCCATCTTTGAACTTGACCTAACAAAACTGCAGCCACTAAAGTGTAAACAAGCTTTTTCTATTTTTAGCTCCTGTGACCTAGTTTTTGACTAGAGATGACCCATCTTTGAACTTGACCTGGAAATCATCAAAACAACCTTCCTGACAAATTTCCAGAATATCTTGATCAAAACTGCAGCCACTAGAGTGTTAACAAGCTTTTTCTATTTTTAGCTCCTGTGGCCTAGTTTTTGACTGGAGATGACCCATCTTCGAACTTGACCTAGAAATCATCAAAACAACCTTCCTGACAAATTTCCAGAATATTTGAATCAAAACTGCAGCCACTAGAGTGTTAACAAGCTTTTTCTATTTTTAGCTCCTGTGACCTAGTTTTTGACCGGAAATGATCCATCTTCGAATTTGACCTAGAAATCATCAAAACAACCTACCTGACAAATTTCCAGAATATCTGGATTAAAACTGCAGCCACTAGAGTGTAAACAAGCTTTTTCTATTTTTAGCTCCTGTGACCTAGTTTTTGACCGGAGATAACCCATCTTCGAACATGACCTAGAAATTATCAAAACAACCTTCCTGACAAATTTCCAGAATATTTGTATCAAAACTGCAGCTACTAGAGTGTTAACGGCTTTTTCTATTTTTAACTCCTGTGACCTAGTTTTTGACCGGAGATGATCAATCTTTGAACTTGACCTAGAAATCATTGACAAATTTCTAGAATATTTGGATCAAAACTGCAGCCACTAGAGTGTTAAAAAGATTTTTCTATTTTTAGCTTCTGTGACCTAGTTTTTGACCGGAGATATCCCATCTTCGAACTCGATCTGTATTTTATTGAGACAAACATTCTGACAAAGTTTGACAATGATCCAATCAAAACTGTGACTGCTAGACTGTTAACAACCCAATTGTTGACGACGAACGAGGCACTACGCACGATGACGGATTCCGGACATAGTCCTATCACTATACCTCACCTTGACCACTTCGTGGTCAGGTGAGCTAAAAAATAGTGAAAGAAAGAGAGAAAAAAGTTAGACATCTTGTGAGGCTCGAACTTTTGACAATTTTTTTTTATCACATATCCCATGACTTTACCAACATTGCCATTGAGACATTTTAAATTCTATTTCTTCTCTAGTGTGATATGTGCTTCTAAAAAACCTATTTTACGTAATCAGACAAAGTTTGTAAACTTGTACGTACACAAAAAATGCAATGTCACTCTCACATTATCATAAAGGCACTGTTTATGCCTCATTTACAACTTGTTATTTAGTGAATTTACATATCTCAAGTAACATCAGTTTCAGTTGTAATAAAATTGTCTCATTTCAAAATAATTAAATCATGTAAACCTATAAAAGCACCTCAATTATTATAATCTTGACAGGAAAAAAAGCTAAAAAATAAAGT